TGTATTTTGTAGGCAAACTATTTATGTTACAGGTCACAGGCTGCATTATCGCAATGGACAACAACTTAAACTGGATGGTATTGATACATACAATTTGTTGTTAATGTTCCCAAATCGTCATAAAGCAGCATGAGAATAAACCGTACCGATGAGTAACACAGTAAATCTAATCGCTCAGTTTGAGCGATTTCATTCAATTTTTTTTATTTTGCCAATTATTTATTATGCCGTTAATACATTACTCCAGCGGAATTGATTGGCAAGGTAGCAGGTGTAAAGCACTTTATGGCACCATTAACGGACAGGAAATAGATTTTAAAAATGAAAAATCCCCTCATCAATCTGAAGGAAATGTACATCTTGACTCTAATTTAAAATTTGGAAACAATGTGTTTACTACACTTTGTAATAAACAATGCCATTTCTGATGGGAAGAGTGCACGTGCTGATTTACTGAGTGCAAGGAAGGCAATTTCATCCAACATCATTATGGGGACGGCAACAGTGCTGACATGGCCAGGACTACGGGAATATTTAAAACAACAGGAAGATACCGGTGCCTTCTCAATCTTATTATTAGTAGTAATATTATTCCATCCGTAAAAAATATAAACTACAAGTGCAACTATTTATTATAAGCAGTTGTAATGGGTCATCCCAATGTAACTTTTCACAGACATTTCTTTCTGAGTAAGTTGGCCAAGTAAATCCAAAAGAATAGTAAATGTTGAAAGGATTCCTATGTACCCGGTTAGCATCTGCCCAACAGAACTTCACAGGCGTGGAACAGAGAATTGTCGTGTTGCCCACAAAAGAATAACAATCCTTGCATTTGAAAATACGGTCAATTCACTTTACAGGATATTCTGTGAAGCATTTTGAGACGTCTCAATGACGTGATGCAGATTATATTTATTATTTATACATCAACTAGAGTTTTCTGGGATCAGAATATAGCTTGTACATTGCCAGAGTGAAAGTGAAGCCAGAATAAATGATGTATTTTGATTTTAATTGCAGTTAAAAAATATTTAATATTTCCTAGTGATGATTTCCCAGATGAATCTATAATGCATATCCAGCAATCTTAATTTAATCCAAAGATCGCTCACTTCAGCAGTCATTGTGACTATGACTGAACCCTGGGAGACTGTATGTATGGTCTGTTGCTTTTAATGAGTGGAAATTCTCATCCTTGTAAATGCTAAACTGTTATTTTATTAGTCATGAAATTATATTTATTTCAAGCCAAAATAATCTTGTTAATCAGGGCACATAAATTGCAACAGAAGATGTGGTGCTTTTACCTTTTGCTTGAATTCCACAGTCACAGGTATTAAAGGGAAAAAATGGGCAATAAGTTTGTTCATATGGCAAACATGGGGTTAGCAGTTGTGAATGGGAAGAGGTGGGTGAAAAGGTTCATCTTTCTCCTAGAACTTGGTGATCCAAAATAGAACTGCAAAACTAAAAGGTTGTAAACCACACGTTGGCCCCTTCAAATTCAATGAAAATCGGTGCATCTTCTGCACATAAATGTGTCAGCCTGGCTAAATTGGTAGCAAGCACTTGTGCTTTTGGGTCAGAAGCTTTAAAATAGGTTCAACCCCGCATTTGAGACTTTGAGCTCACGGTTCACGTGGACACTCCAGTGCAGCATTGTGGAAGCGCTGCACTGTCAGAGGTGACGTCCTTCGAATGACCCGTTAAAATTGAGGTCTGCCTGTTGAGGTGGTCACTAAAGATCCCATGACACTATTCACAATCACAAGTTTTGAATTCAGAAAGAGAAGAGAGTGGCTCCTGGTGTTATGCTATGACAATCCTTCAGGACAATTGGTCATTCAACTCCTGGCTGTTCGTGGGACGTTGCCGTGCACAAATTGGCTGCCACGTTTGCCTACAAGTACAGAGTCACTAAATTTAACAGTAATTACCGTAAAGTGCTTTGAGACATTTTGAAATTATGAGTTCTATATTGAATACAAGGATTATTAAAGCATTAATTGTCATGTTATCTCACCAAGTTCAAAACCGCCGGAGCAAAGTCACTAATATGTTACATAAGACATCTCTAGCACCAGCAAGCAAAACCTTTGGAGCATAATTTGATCTGACTGAGAAATAAAATTAAAACGATATAAAATGAGCACATATCTTGTATCAGATGATTTATATACTGTCTCTTCAACTCAACCTTTGCCTTTCTGTCTCATTGGTTGTGTTACCGAGCTGGTGTGTGATACAAGAGCTGGTAGCCTCACCTCAGTTTCTCTCTACCTTATTACTGGCGGTTCCTAAGAGTGCACTGGCCTGAATTTCTGCAACCTCAGCAGAATCGCAGCTCTTTCAGAATGAGGTTAGAGTCACCTTGAAATAGGGACTCAGCTGACACAGCTCCCAGACACACAGGTGCAACAGGCCATTTGTAGTTAGTGTTCAAGTGTGGTGTCGATTGATGCTGGTGATGGGACAGGGAATATATGACACAGGGTTCATCTACAGCTGTGGTGGCCAACCCATGGCCCGGAAGTGGCCTGTGGCACCATCAAAAAGTGGCACACCAAACATTCGCACTAGTGTAGGGGTGGGGTCTGTTTAAAATCAATGCTTTGTTTCCAGTTTTTTCTTGATTGAATATTTCTTGATTTTTATGGCACAAATCAAGAAATAGTCAATCAAGATAATTTATTGTGTTGACCCAACCCAAAAAGTTTGGCCACAACTGCCCTACAGCGAATTCCTGTGAAGCGCTTTGAGACATCCTCTTGATGTTATATTAAATGCAAGGATTATTTTACTGTTGACGCAATCCACAGGTTTTACTCAACAGTGACCAATGTATCAACGTATTCAAAAATGATATAAAAATGCACTTCATTCACAACTTTATACAGTTTATGTTACTGGGAAAACAGCTGCTGGCCTTTCCACATGATCACAATGGTAGAAAGAGGTATTTCTTGTTTAGCTTTACAGACAATTAATAATAATCCTTGCATTTGATACAGCGCCTTATCACGTTGTTGAAAAGTCTCAAATCGCTTCACAGAATATACTGTAAAAGTTAATTGGCTATATATTTTACATGCAAAACGCGGCAGCCAATTGAGTGACCAAATGTTTTTTNGAAGGGATTATCACCCCGGAAATCGACTAACAACTGGGTTTCTACTTACTGCTAAGTAAACAACAACAACAACTAGCATTTATATAGCACCATTCCCCCAGGGTAGCATTCCAGAGCACTTAGACGGAAGCATGTGGAGTAAGGAAACTTGCCTAAGGTTTCACCCTGCCCAGGAATCAAACCTGGGTTTTCTCACTTGCGAGGTGAGTACTGTGACCAATATGTTACAGGATTCCAAATATTAAACTGACCGGTTGAGAAACTGATTGTGAACTTGCAATGTAAGAATTAAAAGAACAGAAAAGCATTAGGATACTTGTCTCTCAACTAATAAGTCGAACCAGGGTTCAATGAAGTGAAGCACGCACATTATGCAGCAAATTCCAATTAAGCACAACTTTGTAGAGATTCCCTTCCATTAATTTCCATTCAATTTCATTTATAAACAATTATTTCCAGCCGCAATGCACTTCAAAGATCAAAGGTGATTTCTTAGCTTTCTGTCCTGTGGCCTGCTCCATTAATCACCAACACCATCATATGATGTGCTAACACCTCATTCTTAAACTGTAAGAATCAAATTATATGACTCAGCCTTTCAGTACGCAGACGATGATTACTTCAATAAGTTATCCCTCAAATATGAAATTAAGGTTTTCTTTGCTTTAACTGTGATGTGTTTTTGCCAGCAACTCTAGATGATTCTAAATCTGGTGTCATGTTAAAATCTCTGCTCTGAAGACTGCCTGTGGATTAAATGCATCTACAAATCTGATAAGAAAAAAAATCAACGCTGGTTTTACACCAATTCATCTTCAACGTAATGCCTTTTGTTGTTTACAACCTGAGAAACTCCACCTGTTTTTTTGTTTTAGCCATTTGTTTTCAGGATTTTAAACAACTCATATTTTAATCTTAAATTTGAAGCCGACTTTGACAACTGTTTAAAAGATGATATTTTGTCCCCCAGAACTTTTTTGCAAAGGTTCCTATTTATTAGCCTCGGTGATTCTCTAACTGGCTACTTGCTGCGAACAGAAGAGAATAACTTGATTCTGACATACTGTTAGCAAGTACCTAACCTTGGGGCCAAGGAGATCCCACTTACCTTCTCCTGAAAAGGTTAGTGGGTGGCAGGATGCTCAAGTTCCGGATTCAACCATCATAGGACCCAATGAAGATTCTGGAATGAAATCATAATTGTTTCCATTGAAACAGAAGGAAATGTCTAATAGGATCCAGCCAAGCTCTTTATTAAGTTTGTGAGTATCTGCACTCCAGATACAAACATAGGAACAGGAGTAGGCCATTCAGCCCCTCAAGCCTGTTCTGCCATTCTATAGGATCATGGCTGATATATACCTCAACTCCATTTATCCGCCTTTGCTCTATATCTCTTGTTACCTTTACCTAACAAAAATCTATCCACCTCAGTCTTGAAAATCTGAATTGATCTAGCACCCACGGCCTTTTGGAGAAGGGAGTTCCAGATTTCCACTACTCTTTGTGTGAAAAGGTGGATATTTGTCTCCAACATCAAGAATCACTTTTTATTTTTGGTGGAAGGGCACAGTGGAAAAGAAAATTTCCATTATCAAATCTAGTTCACTGGGATTCTCCAGAGCGTGTCACCAAGTTGAGTGGCATGTTCCTTCAGGAGTTCTGTTTTACTGAATGTTTCTTCAGAAACATCAGTGTTAAAAGGTTCAGGGATGAGAAAGCCTTGTTGACGGGCTGAGGACATCATGGCGAGAATTGTTTTACAACCATCGATAACAAACTGATCTGAGCTACTTTTAGTTCGCTCCAGACTTTTATCCTGCATGAACTGAAACCAAATTGCACTTGAAAAAAGGCATCAAATACCTCATTAGCCCGAAGAATGGTTTAATGATTGTACAGTAAAATGCAACAGGAAGTATGTGATACAGTTCAATACAGGTGTTTTCTTGTTGCCGGTCACTTGGAGTCTTGCACCAGTCCTGGGTTTAGCCTTTCGAGGTGGTGTGCTGGCGTAACATCTGGGAGATGTCCTTGCAATCTGTAACTTCTTCAGGCAGACAACCTTCTCCGTCCTGGATGGTGGGATCTGCGCCAGCATCCAACAGCAGCTCCACAATCTCAGTAAACTCGCAAGCTGATGCTGGAAGCAGTCAAGAGCAAGATGTCATTAAGTGTGCGTGTTACATATCACTGTGATGAAAACACAATCCTCCTCCACACCATGGCTCAGTTTTAAGGTGGAAGAACCTGAAATGTTTCCTCTTGAAAAATAAACAACTAAGGAGTCACGTGATCTGAATTTTTAATATTATGAAAAACAAACTAATATGTACGCACATAAAGAGCTTTGATTATAAAAGGACACAAAATTAGCCACAAGCAAAAAAGAATTGTGCACCTATTTGACTCACGTTTGGATTCACTGAGCTGTGGTGCAACCACCAGACTCCTGTGATCAGAAACTTACCATGTAGGCAATCAAAGGGATGAAACCGTAATCCCAACAGTTTGGTGGCACAGTGCTTTCAGCTGGTGCCACTCTGCTGCCAGTCCCCCTACCAATCTCCCTACTGCCCTACCCCCACCACCCTCAACACACACATACACTACATAGGCTTTTAACCTCATATTTCTAAAGCCCATGATGTTCACCAGAACAAGCATAAATAACTACAGACTAAATTTGGAATGATGGCTCATATCCATGACAGCTGTCTTCAACAAACAAAAGCGATCCAATTCCACACGTCACTCCCTGTGACCCGTTTTATTTAGAATTGCAATCCATAAAGATCAAAAACTAAAACCCAATGATGATATTTTTGGCTTTATCCAGGATGGAATTTTCAAAGAGGAACAAAAAAGAGTAAAGCCCGAATAGGATAAAGCCAGCTTCCAATTACAGAGCCAGATGAAGCCTGCCGTATCCTCAATGATACATTGTCAACAGTAATATAGAAAAATACATCTTTCTACGAATAGGCACATTAAAACATCTTTTCATTACCCTATCAATATCAGACTTTTACAAAAAGTGTTCATGTGTGAATTTCAAATCTACAATTTTGAATGAATATCGGAACCTGAATTCCCAAGGATGCCCAATGTCATAGTGGTGAATGTGCTGCCAAACCGGATTGTAACAGAATGTAAAATCCTTTACGCCGTCATTAAATCACACCACTTTGTACATGGTGTTATCAAATTAAGAGTAGTGTGTGGAAGGCTGATGGCTTCAACCATTGATCTGGTCAAATTGCCCAGTTTTAACCTCCCTTTGGTAAGTTCAAACACAAGTCCATTATAGCTTGAAAATGGAACTTCTTTTCTTTTGAACAAACAATATCAAAAGAAGTGTTTTGATTCTGGTCTGGCCCCTGGTCTTATGTAAGCATCCCAACATTTTTAGGTCACTGACATCACAGATATAGAGCAAAGCTCTATCCACTCTGACCCAAAGCTGTTGGTTCCCAAGTATAACGAGCACAGGACTTCCAGTAATATATTCTGTGTTACTTTGCAGTGGTGCTGTAAATTGGTGTGCAATATAGAAATATTCTCAGGAAGGTATGTACAGTGAGCAGTTTCAAGAGGGAATTGAATACATTTTGATGGCAAAGTGAATTGGGAGAGATGTGAGCTCGGAAGGAAATTTGAAAATGTAACTGGCCAGGTGGAACCAAATAGTCTTTTCTGTTCCTGTAGATTCCTACAATGTTTGTGCTGCGCATTTACACCCTATATAGTTTTGCAGAAGATTTTTGCAATTGTGGTTTGTGATGAGGTACAGAGAGGGGGCTGATTTATCGTCAGCAGAGATTATCACTGGTTGCTAGCACTCAGTGTTCAAGTAATGGTTGCCCTTCGTATCCGAAGATAGTCGTTCACACAACATGAAACCTGGGTGCGTGAATTTGTTTATAATGTAGAAACTGCAGCAGCCACACGTCTAGTCAGCAAGCAGTGTAACCAGGTGTCAAGGAATATCCAAGAAGACCAGACCACTTGCTAACTGTAGAAACCATTACCCCGGAAAGTGATCCAACAATCGACTAACGACCGGGTTCCTACCTACTGCTAGGTAAACAGAGGTGTGTGGAATAAGGAAACTTGCCTGCACTTTTCTATTGGCGCAGTTCATGGCCATTGCAGAGTTGGGGTTCATTAGATCTTATACAGATACAAGGTGGTATATACCCTAAACTAGGAAACCTTCGCAGAGTCACCTGCATATTGATGCTGCGACTACTTCTAAGTAATGTTGATTCCATTGAGAGACAATAAGAATAAAATTGTTAACATCTCTTTGGCTCTTAATGTGGGATGGCACTGCTTCCAGCATGATTGCATTTCAATGGCATTTCTGGCAATATTCTGTACTCACTGTCTCGTCAAAGTCTCCATTCTGAGAAGACTGAGTACCATTGCACTGTGATTATGGATCCCTGCTGCTACAGCAACAGTGTGTGCAATAAACTGAACTGAAATTCGGCATATGAATGTTAATTAGTGGGTGTACACATTGTACATACTATGGTTACTCCACACAAACCTCTAAATCAAGTCATTTTCACAGTCCATACAAATTAAAGCCATTGTGAAAATGTCCCCTTCTTTTCCGTATTTTATAAGTTTCTACAGAAAAAGGCACAGAAACAAAGAGAAAATAGTAATCAATTTAGACCAGATTAAAATAGGTATAATTCTGTTTCAAGTTCACTGCCTCTGAACAGTTTTCACTGAGGATCAAACCAAGTCCCATACTGTATGCTTCTGGCAGATGTAAAGCTGGAAGAGGAAATGCAGACTGTCACTGCCACTGATCTAATGTCCCAACACCAGTAAGAAAGAGCCATAACTCAGAAAAAGATCTACAAATGAATTATAAACTCTCCGTGGTGAGTGCTTGAAATTTAGTAGCGCACTGTCACCCAGTCAAATATTCCACTTATTCCACAGGCATTGTGCTGCAATAAATTAAATGCAATTCATGTGCATTTCACTGCGCTAATCAAATTCTTGTGATAGTAAGAATAGGGTAGTGTGGATCACTGCTTCCAATTAGCAGGAATACAACTAGATAGATTGGTTAAAACTAGACAGTGTTTTGGGTAGAATGCACAGATAATAGCGGAATGGGAAGGGACTTTGGGTTGGCGTTCGACAGGCAGAATGGACTCCAGGAAGGAGTTATGTAATTAGGACAGATTCTGGGATGCAGTTCCACAGTTAGAAGGGACTCTGAAGTGGAGGTACGCATTTGGGAGGGACTGGGATGGAGTTTGACTCAGAAAGGACTCTGGGGTGGATAATCCTGCAGAAACTTCCTGTTAAGATTTAAGAGAAAAGACAAGATAAAAGATAGTCCACATCTCTCAGGGTTGTTGCAGTGCAGTTGCTGAGAGTTAGCGTCTCCTGTACCTGGTTTAATGAAGCTGACACGGGTCAGTGTCTGCCAGGGCATGTTCCGTGTAGCTGCACAATCAACGTCTGTCAGGACTAGTTTAGTGTAGTTGCAGAGAGTCAGTGTCAGTGTCAGCCAGTCCTGAGTCGCTGTGTGCCAGGGCTAGTTCAGTTTGGCTGCACAATTAGTGTCTGTCAGGCCTGGTTCAGCTTAGCTGCCGAGTCAATGTCCGACAGCACTGGTTCAGTGCAGATGCTGAGATCAGTGAGTGTCTGCCATGGCTGGTTTAGAGTAGCTGTCAATAGTCAGTGTCTGTTTCAGTGTAGGTGCTGTGGTTCAGTTCATTTCTATCAAGCCTGGTTCAGAGTAGCTGCCCAGAGTCAGTGTTTGCTAGAGCTGGTTCAGTGCACTGTCCAAGTCAGTGTGTGCCAGGGCTGGTTGAGGTGTAGCTACTGAGAGTCAGTGTCTGTCAGGTTCAGTGCAGTTGCAGAGAATCAGTGTCAACCAGGGTTGGTTCCAGGGATTGAGAGGGATTGGCTTTAAGCTTGGCTGCCAATGGTGGGGAGGATAGGACAGGGGACATAACGCAGGTCACTATTCACTGATGAAGGGAGTTTAATGGGACTCATGGAAGTTATCAGGTGGGGACAGCCAGCAACAAGGCATGCCAATGGACAGAATGTTCTGGAATACAAAGTATTATTTTTATGCGCAAGCAGGAACAATCTACAAAAGGACTGAAGGACATGGCTGAAAGTTCAGCCGTCAATGGTGGGGCAGAGAGGATGGGAGACATGAAGCAGGCCAACGATTTCTGAACGAAGGGAGTGGTTTTGTCAGTAGGATCGCAGGAAAGATGACTGAAAGCGTGGTAAAAGAAGGCTTTGAACATTGGGAGGGAACAAGTCGGAGGGATTCTGGGATGAAGTTCCCAAGAGTGGGAGCAGAATCCTGAAACTTCAGCTGCTAATGGTGGGACAGATAATGGTGCAGGGGTAAAGAAGGCCAGTGTTCTCTGAGCTAAGGGAGCAGTCTGGTAGTTTGGGTTGCAATGGCAACTCTATAAGTCTGACAGCAAACTGTACAGTTGCCACTTTTCGCCCACAAAATATACAGTTTATTCACTTTACAGTATATTCTATGAAACGCTTTGAGACGTCTCGCAGACGTGATAAGGTGCTATATCAAGTGCAAGGATTATTATTATTACAATGTCAGTCATATTTGTGCACCAATGTACATTTTTATTTCACTGAATGTCACTAACAGTGAACCATATAGTTGTTAGTTATATAATGCAGTTTTATACTGTTCAAAATATGCTGATTTAATCATGATGACAAGAAATTAACAAAATAAGATGGGTGAAATAATTTTATGAAAGCCTGTATCACTCATGATGACTTTATAATAGCAAGTTTGAGTGGAAAAGGCAAAGCCTGGTTGAATTTGAAGTCTTGCTTTAAGAAATGCTTGTATGATGCTCGTTTTAGACTCAGGAGGTTAAACAGCTAAATTTATGGCTCTCCGGGACCCCCATTTGTCAAGTGACAGAACTTTGGCCTTGCACAAGAGAGGAGGGAAAATGAAATCTCATTTCTCTCTAAACTTCATCACTCCCATTATTGCAGTCATTCCATTCTCCTTGCTGCTCCTCTCCCCGTCTGTCCTGACACGGCAGATGGTACCTCCAAAGCAAGGGCTCCGAGGACAGAGAGCCAACCCCTTTCCCATCACGTGAACTCCCTCCTTCTAGGACACTTTGATTTCCTCAGGGACAGCTTGTAGGCAATAAACTAACCCCACAAGGATGCTCTTCTACACAATAGAAGGTACTGCTGCGTCTCAGCACAAACAGGGTGCCTGCCTGCTGATTCAGGGTCACCATCTCTGCACCAAAAGCCTCTCTCTCTCTCTCTCTCTCTCACACACACATACGGCTGATAAAGTAATTTAGCACAAAATCATTCTGGTCAGTCACAAGATTATGTGAAAAGAGCTGATTTATTCATTTCCTCAATCTATAACACATGGTCCAAATGTTCTTATGAAAATGAGTTTGCTGTTCAGATGGACTCAGTGCTAACAAACAAACTTTATCACCAACACGCAATTGCAACACCATATTTGCTAATTAAATTTTAATTATGATTATTAATAATAATCCTTGCATTTGTTACAGTGCCTTATCATGCCATTCTTTGTGAATCATTTGAAATTCATTGCCACAAGTGGCTATTCTAGTAGAATCAATCAAAACAGGACTGAGTAAGTAACTAGATATAAACATATCAAGAGATTTGGGGAAAGAGCTGGAAGTGAGATGAACAGAAAAGGGAGATTGAGAAAAAAGAGCTAGAGTGGCTAAGCACAGTAGACTGAATTGTCTCCTTCTGTGCTGAGAAATGTCTAAATAGGAACTACACTAAGGAAATGATTAAAGTTGTCACTAGCTTTACCCAGTATCTGTACACCCAGCCACTCATATCTTACACCTCCTCACTGCATGTGCAACAAGGATCTAAATTTCTGCCACAAATAAATACTGGTGCAACAACCCTTGTGTGGTAAATTATTGTATCCAGTCTCAACCTTCTGAAGTCGGTTTTCTGTATTTGTTAAAAAGGACCTCCAAAAACCAGGCTTCAAAATTACTGCTATATATAGGAATTAGCCAAACTTGGGATGTTCTAAATGCTGCATAAACAGAGTAAATCTACACTTAGGTGGAATTTCTCTGCATCTATGGGGTGAAATGGGATTGGTGCAGTGGAATTTCACACTTAGATCAGGTCTTATCTAAACTATGTGGTATGATAACTAGGTTCTGGATGAATAAATAACGTCTGGATGCTGTTTTTAACATTAATTCTGTTTGACCAGTTGGGTGAAGATAGTTCCATTGGCTGCCAAGTCTCCTGGGATAGAATAAATTAATCTGTCTAACATGATATTAAAGAGAGAGAGAGGGATCCCCATTTACTGAACAACTGCAAGAATGATTTGCTGAGCTCAGATGATGCACTGGATAAACTCACCAGATGATGTAATTGTATCTCTCGTCTGACGAGTTTACCAATATCAGATTAGTATCAGGATTGGTAAAGTCGAGTGTGTGTGCGCGTGTGTTTTCTGTGTGTGAGGAACCAAAATGAGGGTAGGTTTGGGCTTTGGATGGATCCACAACCTATTCACCCTCATTACCTATTCCACATCAGCGTCCTTTGATGGCCTCTCGAGTGGATAGTCAGCAACTCTCACTGCTGTGGCTAAAATGTGAGAATGTTTCATGGCCGAGGTACTTGAGAGCTGCTTTTGTGTGGACATGGGTCTCACTGAGAGTATTTGAAACCCAAGCAAAAATGTCCATAAGGGACCCAAAATCATTACTCATAATGTACTCCTGTCAAATGGTCTACTCAATGCACGGTTGAAATCTTATGTTTAGGAGGATAGAGCCTACCATAAATTGCGTGCTATATGCCGACAATAGATTAATGACACAATTGTCTCTCGGCAGCCCGCTGAGCCAGAAATTAATTGTTCAGTAAAACAGAAATAAGACCAAGTTTAACCAAATTAAACTAAGGTCTATCCCAGCTACCTGTTTTTTTTTCTTTTCAGAAGGACCTTAGGTATCATTCTTGGTTATCCCTCTCATTCAAATTCATTACCAAAAAATTCAGATTACCCGGCACTGTAGTTTGTAGGATGTCACCGGTGCAGTTTAGCTGCCTTGTTTACCTATATTAAGTAGGCTCGATATTAACATTGGCTTTAATTTCAAATGATTCTCATTTTACCAAGTGCTTCAGGACACTCTTTTAATTGAAAGGCATTTCCATAAATGTACGTTTGTTGTAAATATCTGTAAGCAGTTCTGAAGGACACAGAGGCAGTCCCTCAGATGCCGGGCCCTTTCTGCTCTCCTGGTGCTGACCCACAGCTCTGAATTTACAGGGATTAAACTCCAGCTGCATCTTGTATCTCAACAATGTGCCTGACACAACGGGTAATCAGTTGAGCTGTCAGTTTTAAGGGCCTTTGTCAAGCCTAACTATAACTCATACAGAAAGGGAGGGGTATCAGGCCCTGAGAGAACCATCAAAAGGGGGTGGGGGAGTGGGGGGGCGGTCACAATCTCTCAGCGGAATTCACCACAAAAAACAATCAATTTACCAACCTTTGTCCAGCATGAGCCTATCTATGCACTGGTCAGTTTCCCTTCAATAAAAAGTTTGTATGAAGAGCATTTAATTTATTAAAATGCCACACAGATGTCCAATTCCATTGTGTTCACAAAAGCTAGCATTCAAACCCAGTACAGACTCTAGCTGTCATCAGCTTTTCAGTGCCTGGATCTGGACATATTTCTCCTTGGTACACAATAAACAAAACAGTAGTTCCCCACAAAACAGCTCATTACCTATACACCACAGTTATGTGCAGTTTGTAAAAGGATGGACAAGACCTGAATGTGTATGCAAGTGTGTGTGTGTATGTATATATGTGATAGGCTGGCTCACTTGGCAGATCTCTCACTTCTGAGTCGGAAGGTTATGATCTCAAGGACTTGGAACTCATATAAGCTAAGCTGACATTTCCAATGCAGTGCTGCTATTTTGGAAGTGTCGTGCTTTGGATGAGACAAACCAAGGTCCCGCCTGCTTGATTAGGTGAATATTAAAGATCCTATGCCAGGAGAAGTAAGTTACCTTCTGGTCTACAATCCCCCAAATAAAGTGGACATTTACTTCACGGCCATTTGTGGGACACTGCTGTGTGCAAAGTTACCTGCTGTTTTCACCCACAAAATACAGTCACTACATTTTACAATAAATCATGTGAAGCATGCGATATCCCCTTGATGTGAAAGGTGCTACACCAAATGGAAGGATTATTATTATTAGAATATGCATAAGTATGAGTGTGTATGCGTGTTTAGCTGTGTATATCCATGGCCATGTGTGTGTACTACACCTTCGGACATCCTCCTGACGTGCAAGGCGCTTTACAAATGTAATTTTGTTGTTGTTGTGCTACGTGTGTTGAAATACTGAACCACATTATAGTAATTAGTGTCTAATGTGTCTATTTCTAGAGGGAGGGATTCCTTAATAAGGAATGTAAAAGTATTTCATGGCAACTTGTTACTCCGTTCAGACATGATTTATTTTCAGAGCAATGTTCCCAGTATGATGGGAAGCCCAAAGGCAGTGTAATGCACTTCCACTTTCCTTATAAAGGAACACTATTGGAGATCACTACATATTAGACACCCCCCACCACCAGTGGGGATCTTTATAATAGAGAAATTATCATTTCCATCTGTTGCTAATTATATCAGGGCACGTTTAATGCCCTCCATACACGTTTACACATCCTACAAATCAGACCATAGAGCCATTGTATTTCTTTATAGTAAGAATCATCAAACTATTTTAGTTCTGTATTTTTCTTGGTGTATCTATCCTCTTGTGGACACACAAGAGGAACACAGAACACTATCACGGAACTAAAGGCAAAATATTGATTCATGGCTTGGAAACATTGTCGCGGGTAGATCCTTGAGAACTGGTTTGGGACCTGTCCTCTTGTTGGAGGGGGGAAGAATCTAACCAGATGGGAGTAACAAAAAGCACAACAGGGACATGCTTTCAAAACATCTCTGCTATTCTCACCTGGTACAGAATCATTTTTCACTCTATGAATGGGTGCAATTATTAAAACGACAGCGGAGACGTTTGTGAGATGATAATGATGACTTGTGCATGGCCCAGTTGCAATGCGAAATATATGCAGACTCGATGTTTAACATGCAAATAATAAATGGGTTTGAATAACAGGCTTACCATAGTGTAATGGTGTCTGTCCTTCATCATCCTGGAAGCAAAGAAAGAAACATTACAGACACCTTTCAGTCAAAGAGCAATGTACTCAACTACACATGGGGTCATCATATTTATAATGCAAACAAAATGCATAATAGAGAACAATTATGAGGACTTAAGGGATTTTTTTTTAAAAGCTATCCATCACAAAAAAGCATAAGTAACGACTTGGAAGTGAACCATTTGGTTGGCAAATTACCTCATTCAATCAATTAATAAACATGTGTGCTTCAAATCCAGATTCATTTTTCTGATATTGACAGTACCAAGCACAAAGAATGCATACAAAGCCACTGTATAATACCAGCTACTTATTATGAGATTTGTAGAACAATTTGTAAATAGTGAGCCTGGGTGAGGTGAAACTCATCCCGTTGCTCCGTTTGGACGTGAATCTCAGTTTATATACCAGCTGGTGTAATAGTGGAAATCCAGAAGGAGCAGCCTTTGGGCTTCACCCATGGAGTAGTTTGATCCTTGCAAACTATCTGGATGTTAATATTGGCTTTAAAGGATGTACTGTAAAGTTGAGGGACTGTATTTTGTGGGTGAAACATAGCAGCCAGTTGATAGTCCACAAGTTGTGATTCAGCCAACATTAACATCAGGTTAGTAGTTTGCAAGGATCAAACTGCTCCATAGGTGACCGGGCGGGGGCGAGAGGGGAAGCCATTTGAAGAGACAAAGTGAATCCACTTTGTTGGGTAGGACTCCAACTAGGCTAGTGCGGTCCCACTAAGGTGGATAAGGGAGGAGAGACGGTGGATCAGGATGGTATGGTCAACTATGTCGAACGCGGCTGAGAAGTCCAGAAGGGCGAGGAGGCAGAGGGTCCCCTGGTCACAGAGAGAGAGGACGTCATTTGTAACCCTGACAAGCACTGTCTCTATGCTATGGGCAGGGCGGAAACAAGACTGGAGGAGCTCAAGCATAAGGCGCTATATCAAATGGAAGGATTGTTATTATTATCAGCAGCCTATTCAGCTGCTTGTTTTTGTCAAACATCCACCCTTGTGCCAGTACCCCCACTGAAACTGTCTGAATCCTGCAGTTTCTTCACATTCGTTTGTGTTTACGCTAAGTGTTTCACCTACACATCCAAGAGCAAAACCGCATTCTCGCCCAGCGAGGCCAAAACACAAGGTGAAAACACGTTTCAGTACTGGCCTCGCCTGCAGTGGAATTTCGTTGTCCTTGGGAATGTTTAATTGCAGCGCTATGTCCTGGACCGTGAGAGTCACTTGACTTTGTCTCTTTTCAATTGGATTCATCCTTAAGGTTTCTGGTGTAATATTGTTATCATTGGATTGAGCTACTTACTATCAAAATAAAAAAACTTCAGTTTGTTGAGTAAAGTTGCAGTGTGTGTAACTTCCTTCATGACGATGCTTCAAGTGCCTTACTGCAGCAAGTCCCTGAAGAAGCTTTGTGATTAAGTGTCACAATGAAGGTGAATTGAAATGTAATGGAATGTGTCTCTGTTCTTTCATGCCTGGATTTCCTGCTGTAACACTGATTAAAGGCAGCGCTGCCAAAAACAAACCACAGCATCCAAAGAAACAGTGAGCGAGATAAACTGCATTCAGTGCCACAGCTGTGCCATTTTCTTTCGAAAAGAGATGGGAGTTTCTCCTAGTGTCCTGGCCAACACTCCCGCCCAATAAAGTTGGTCACTCACTCTATGGCTGTTTGTGGGATATTGCTGTGCACAACCGGTTGCTGCAATTCACCCACAAAGTACATAGTCAATTCACTTGACAGTGTAATGCAGCAAAGCGCTTTGAGAAGTCTCAATGATGTGATAAGGCGCTATAGCAAATGGAAGGATTAATATTATTATATTATTATTCAACAAGTGCAAACCTTAGATCTATGTGGATAGATATCTATCCTAGGAATAATAACTTGGGAGTTTCAGGGAGCACCGATGGCTCCAGACGAACTCTGATCCAAGCACAAATTTCAAATGTGCCAAATCAGACCCTTACAGAACTATGTAGAAATCCTAAACCAGTTAATTAAAATAATACAAAACATTGTCATAAACAATGTCATTCTCAGTATGTAACATATTAGATACAGTCCCATTTCACCTAAAGTCTTTTTTCTCTACGACAGTAAAACTTGCATAAGTCTGATCTGTATAAATCGTATAATCGCCTAAGTCCCGTTGAATGTCATCAAGCAGCTCCCCAGGCAACATAGAATAAGAACATAAGAATTGGTGGATGAAAGGAAACTAAGGTCCACCTAGTTTACCTTCCACCATTCTAGCAGTCGATTGCACATATCATGTCCCAAACTATGTATTGTATCCCATGTTATTATTTCCTAAAATAAATCTATCTAATTTGCTTTTGAAAGAATCAAAACTTTCTGCTTCCACCGTCTCTCTAGGGAGGCTGTACCATATAATTACTACACTCGGAAAATATCCAGGTTGGTGTATAAAGTCAGATTACTGGTGCAGTTCAGAGGTAAGCTTTACTCTAGACTGAAATCTCATGTGTTGGGTTAGTGGGTAAAGACATCAGCACTATACCAAACAGACTGGAAGGTTGCAGGTTCTAAAATGCCCCTCAGCAGTAAGAGTACTACAATTGGCCCCTGTGTCCCTGGATTAGGCTTGGGAAAATCAGCCAAGGCTTCTCCTTCTGATTGTTGTCCAGAGAACGTGTCTGATGGCAGGTCTATGTGGATATCAGGCAAGGAAAGGGCTCAGCTGTGATGCCGCCCCCTACCTCCCACTGCAATCAAATAACTTGCCAACACTCACTACTGAGACTCGTAAATGAATAATGGGCGAGTTACTGGAGGTATACCCAAACAGCACTACATTATGGTTATCAATGCATTGATTTCCCCTCTTTGTCGAGGTCACCTTCCTCCCTTGCTATCAATCTTGACTGAGAGGCTTGAGTCTTCCAATTTACTCTTGCATCCTCTGACCAAGTGGGCCTCACCACCAACAAAAAACACACAGTGCAAAGCTGCGTTATAATAATAATAATAATAATCCTTGCATTTGATATAGCGCTTTTCACGTCAGGAGGACGTCCCAAAGCGCTTCACAGAACACACTGTAAAGTGAATTGACTGTATATTTGTGGGCGAACGCGGCAGCCAATTGCGCACAGCAATGTCCCACAAACAGTCGTAGATTGAAAATGACCAATTTATTATTGTTTTTGGATTTGGAGGGATTATTATTAGGCGTGTGGAGTAAGGAAACTTGCCCAAGGTTTCGCCCTGACCTGCCTGGAAATAAACTCAGGTCTCTCGCTTGCAAAGCGAGTGCTCTAACCACTGAGCTACAGGACTCCATGGGACGGGTGGTGGTTCTGGAAGGGTGAGTACAGTTACTCAGTACAGCCAAAAAAAAAGCATCTAGTGGTTTATACTGGTCAAGATAGTGGCATTTCTTAACGGAATTGCTTAATACAACTCCATCCCAACTGGGGTTCCTCTTGTAATCTGAAGTATGTCACGCCAACATATGGGGCTCTGCTTTGAAAGTAGTTTCTTCAGGTCAGCTTGAGGTACTTAACAGTTCCCCTGCATTCTCCCCCTCCCACCAATATTTGTGACACAACAGTCATTAATAAGGAATCTCATTAGGATACATCACAATTTGGACATCGGTGGCATTCAGACAGAAAAGAGGAAGAATGAGATCTCTGTTAGAATAGTACATATTTCTAAAGTGGCGATTAGGAATTACACCTGACGCACAGTGCCATGCAGCCCGGAGCTTTTAAAGAATATTGTGGCTGATCTAATTGCAGCACAGATGGGAGGTAGACTTGAAGCCGGTTTATCGATTGGATTAACTGCCTAATTCCCAACAGCAAGATGTAATGCTAAGTCTGGTGGCTCAGGCATTGCAGGAAACTTGTTGCATTGAAGGGCTGATGCTTTTGAGTATGTCTTTTTTTCTATTCAGATGCACTGTTCGAAAAGAGAAAGGAGTTTTTTCCAATGTCCTGATAAACAAATTCTCCCAAGCAAAGTTGGTCCATGGCTATTTGTGGGGACATTGCTGTGCAAAAATTGGCTGCTGTGTTTACCCTCGAAATAGTCATTATACTTTACAGTATATCCTGAGAAGCGCTTTGAGATGTCTTGACAACGTGATAAGGTGCTACCATCAAATGAAAGTATTATTATTATCCTCCTCTCGTATCTGATGGTGTTGAAAAAATCTGCACCAAAAGCTTTCTTATTCTTCGCCTTAGGGATGGGTGCATCCTCATCTGCAGTTAGGCCAGATGGTTCCTGGTCTACTTCGAGACTGACTCACACTGCCTGCATCTTAACTGAATGGAACTAGTCCAGGTTCACACGGCCCCTTCCCTCCTTTTGTAACATATAGAATCATATGAACCTTTCCACAAAGGAAGATATGAGAATCTACTGGAAGTCAGCCTGATTACAACCTGTAAGTCACCCCCACTTTCGTTAATCTGTCTAATCGCTTTGATTATATTCCAGCCTATGAATCACTCCCAGGTATTCAGTATTGATATATCAGGCTCCTTTGATTAGAATGCTTTACCTTACTTAGAGGAATTCATTATTCTATATATAAATATATATATTCATATATTCATATGTACAGTATATCCCTTCTGACAGGTACTCACTATTGTATATAAACCATCTGAACCTCACTATTTTATGACATAATTTAATTCCCTTGATACATTACAGTCAGGTAGTGCATGTGCAATCCTATATGTACAACGTATGGATAGGTTGAATTTACGTGAGGAGTTGTAATATTTTTCCAGAAAATCTCAATGTAAAATAACAGACAAAACTAAACATTGTGTTCACTGAGGATGTTGAAATAACACAGCCAGAGGATATTATTCTCACCCTGGTCAATAGCCTCAAAACCAGTGGCTACAGCATACTTGTTATTAATAAATTACATTTTAATTTAGACACCATGAACACAAAACCCATCGTTTCAAAATCTCTTTTGGTTAT